TGAATTACATCATAACATGATCACTGTGGCCCAGGCTGCCACCAATCTTGTCCTCTCTAATTAGTTCATCCATGTTGGTGAGCAACAGGTCTAGTAATGCTTCTCCTCTGGTTGGGCTGTCTATCACCTGGATTAAGAAATTATCCCCAACACACTTCAAGAGTCTCCTGGACTACTTACAGCTTGCTGTGCAGCTTTTCCAGCAAATGTCAGGGTGATTGAAGTCCCTCAGCAGGATCAGAGCCTGGGAGTGTGATGCTTCCTGTAGCTGAAGTAAGAATGTTTTATCAACAGGCTCCCCTTAGTCACGCGGCCTGTAGTAAACACCAACCACGAGGTTCCCGTTGTTGGCTTGGCTCCTAATTTTTACCCATTAGCTCTCAACCTGTTCATCACTGGTTTTCAAAGACAACTCTGTGCAGTCAATCTATTCTTTTACATAGAGGACACCACCTCCCCCCACCCCTCCTTCCTTGCCTGTCTCTCCTGAACAATTTATAGCCATTGATTGCAGTGCTGCAGTCGTGTGATTCATCCCACCACATTTCAGTCCTAGTGATTAGATCACAGCTTTCTAGCTGCACAATGGCTTCCAGCTTCCCCTGTTTGTCACCCATGCTGTGTGCATGCATTGGTGTAGAGGCACTTCAGCTAGGCTATCGACCATATCACCTTTTTACAGGAACATGCCCTAATTCTTTTGAGGCATTTCACAGATTTTTCCCTGTCGGTTCCTAATACATCAGCAGCCCCTGGGTCTTCTCTGTTGCTCAAAACTCCACCCCCTTCACCCGTTAAATCTAGTTTAAAGCTCTTCATGTAAGTCTGGTCAGCTACTTGGTCGGGTGAATCCTGTCAGCTCTCAACAGACCTGGCTTCTCAAAGGTAGATCTATGATCATAGAAACCAAAACCTTGAGAATGGCACCAGCCACACAGCCAAGCATTCACCTGTTCAATTAATCTCCTCCTTCCTAAAATATACATTTCTATATATGTTTACATATATTTATTTCTTTATTTATATTTATAAATATATATATTTAATATATGAACAAAAAAACCTAATGTACATTAGTCTAAGAATGTTATCCTCAAAACAGACATACAACATACTGAACAACTCTTAGCTATCAGTACTGAATATCTTTTTTAAAAAAAGAGTTTGTCTTCTGAGCAGGATGTCATTTATCTATGAAGATGGGAATTAGTCTCATGAGCACAGAAATGAAATGATTGTCTTGTATGTGTAACACTGTAAATATATGCTCAGTTGTCATCAACATTTCACTTCTTGTCTACCCAGAAAACAGCTGGTGTCAATAATTTTTCATGTAATATTACAGTAAGAAATCTGTTCTATAAAAAATCATGAGAAAACAGAGAAGAAACTGAATAAAGCCTGAGAAAGTTAAGAGGTTAAACAGAAGTGCAGATTATATAAACCACTGAAAGGTTTGTGATTCATCAGAGGTCAAAAATGGAACTAAAGATGGGGGGGGGGATGGTTTTTTTTTTTCCCTGACCTTATTGGTCAAAGCTTACTTTGATCAATCTTTCTTACTCCACAAATGGTTTTGTTAATAGACGCTTTCATAGTTATCAAGCACCAAAAAGACAGACTGATTTTTAAATTGAAAAATTAAAAAGAAAGGGAAAGAAAAAGAGGTTAGGTACAAAGAAATAAGAAAGAGGGTATTAACTGTCCACTGAAGTGGAGAAGATGTCTTTTCAAAAGTTTAATTGCAAAGGTGTATCTTTTTTATTATTATTTGCTAAAGTGAGAAAGATTTTTTTTTGCTTTATTTCAGTTAGGAGTTTAAAATCAATTCTGCAGTTAAGATATTTTTTATGTTGTATGACTATATGCTTGCTCTTTTCCATCAGTGAAAAGCATTCAAGAATTCATGGAGTTATTCTGGAGTCATCAGAGTTCAGATTTGAAGCTTTCATGCAATTCTTTTCATGTGATTTCCAGTGGATTTCCAGAGGATTACACTGCCTTTTAGAAACTGTAGGTATAACTTTCTGAAGAGAAAAATCTTAAGTCTCACCTATGCACACACTAGAAGTCACACAATGCATTGCACAAAACTGGAGTAATAAATAACTTTGTAGTTGAAAGATTTTTGTAGCTCAGGAAATCAGTGAAAATATGTGGTATAAGTAACAGTATGAAAGCTGGAGCTGTACAGTCCAGGTAACATTCTGTCATGATATAAGAATCATTATAAAAAGTCTGCCAGATTTTCTTCTCAAAAAAGTTACTGCGTATTTGCCAACTGACAAACTAGCAAGGGAAACTTTCAAAATCCCAGTCTATATTTAAGCTGCTAAATTCATCCTCTCCCTGGTCTGATTTCTGGATTTCAGACCAAGAAATGCAGACTGATTAATAGATCTAACTTCAAGTTTCAAACAGCATTAATGTTTATACATGGTCAAACACCTTAGTGTCCCACTTCAGCGCCATATGTTGGTTATCTGATCATCCACAGTGCATATTTCAAAATCCCAGTCTATATTTAAGCTGCTAAATTCATCCTCTCCCTGGTCTGATTTCTGGATTTCAGACCAAGAAATGCAGACTGATTAATAGATCTAACTTCAAGTTTCAAACAGCATTAATGTTTATACATGGTCAAACACCTTAGTGTCCCACTTCAGCGCCATATGTTGGTTATCTGATCATCCTCAGTGCATAAATAATAATATTATCTTGAGTGATCATCTGAAGTAAGGTCACCCCTGGATGTTGATACAGCTCTGCTGTGGAAAGTATACAGCTGCAAAGATCTGCATTTTGATTCCCTGCGTGCTTCGAAAACAGGAGCTAAAATAGTCACAGAAATATAGAAATTGCTGTATCAGAGGAGAACACTGATCTGCCTAACCCAGAGAAACATTCAAAGTTTTGTGTGGGCTTTTGTTGTTTTTTTGGTTTTTTTTTTAAGGCAGGGGAGAAGAGTTTTCTCTGAACAAATATTAATGCTTTTGAAAAAAAAAATTCCAAAAGACACAGATACAAAAACCTCTTATTTAACTGTTAAAGAGCATTGTATTTACTAATGTGAGTTTTATTGTCTTGACAACCACCCTGCATAACTTTCAGAGACAGACTGAATGGTTTGCTTCTGTATTGGGTTTATGTGGCAAGGTTTTGGGCTACAGGGGTGGCTTCTGTGAGAAGATGCTAGAAACTGCCCCTATGTCTGATAAAGCCAGTGCCAGCTGGCTTCAAGACGGACCCGACACTGGCCAAAGCTGAGCCAACCAGCGACGGTGGTAGCACCTCTGTGATAACATATTTAAGAAAGGGTAAAAACTGCTGTGCAACAGTGGCTGGGAGGGAGGAGTGAGAAAATGTGAGAGAAACAGCCCTGTGGACACCAAGGTCAGTGAAGAAGGCAGGGGAGGAGGTGCTCCAGGCACCAGAGAAGAGATTCCCCCACAGCCCATGGTGAAGGCCATAGTGAAGCAGGTTGTCCCCCTGCAGCCCATGGACATCCATGGTGGAGCAGATATCCACCCAGCAGCTCATGGAAGACCCCATGCTGAAGCAGGTGGATATTCCTGAAGGAGGCTGTGACCCCATGGAGAGTCTACACTGGAGCAGGTTCCTGGCAGGACCTGTGGCCCCGTGGAGAAGAGCCCATGCTGGAGCAGGTTTTCTGGCAGAACCTGTGGCCCCATGTGGGACCCATGCTAGAGCAGTTTGTGAAGAACTGTATCCTGTGGGAGGGACCCCACACTGGAGCAGGGGAAAAGAGTGAGGAGGAAGGAGCGGCAGAGACAAAGTGTTATGAACTTACCACAAGCCAATTCCCTATCTCCCTGCTCTGCTGGGGGGAGAGGAGGTAGAGAAATCAGGAGTGAAGCTGAGCCTGGGAAGAAGGGAATGGTGGGGGGGAAGGTGTTTTAAGATTTGGGTTTATTTCTCATTACCCTACTCTGATTTGATTGGCAATAAATTAAACTAATTTCCCCAAGTTGAGTCTGTTTTGCCCGTGACGGTAATTGGTGAGTGATCTCCCTGTCCTTACCTCAACCCATGAGCCTTTTGTTATATTTTTTCCTCCCTGTCCAGTTTAGGAGGGGGAGTGACAGAGAACCTTGGTGAGCACCTGGCAGCCTGCCAAGATCAACCACCACAGCTTCTCACACTAGCAAGCAATTTTCTTTTGTCTGGGCTCTACTCCTACATCTTGTAACATTACTACTTTTTCGCTGATCAAGAAAGAGAACCATATTCGAATAGTCCTGTCAGTGGGAGGTCTGCATTTCCTATTGTTTTATTTTATTTAGGTGCAATAGTGGCAGTGATACCTACGATTCATACAGACTCTTGGAAACATTTTATATTTTTTAACATTTCTAACATTTTATAACATTTTATTAGAGACAGCCAACATGGCTTCACTAAGGGCAGATCATGCCTGACTAATCTAGTGCCCTTCTACGGTGGAGTGATTACATCAGTGGACAAGGGAAGAGCTACAGATGTCATTTACCTGGAATTCTGTAATGCCTTTGATACAGTCCCCCACAACATTCTTGGCACTAAATTGGAGAGGTATAGGTTTGATGGATGGACTATTAGATCGATAAGGAACCGGCTGTATGGCTGCATCCAAAGAGTTGAAGTCAATGGCTCAATGTCCAAATGGAAACCAGTAACGAGTGCTGTTCCTCAAGGGTCCGTATTGGGACCAACACTATGTAATATCTTCATTACTGACATAGACAGTGGGATTGAGTGCATCCTCAGCAAGTTTGCAGATGACACCAAGCTGAGTGGTGCAGCTGATTTGATAGAAGGAAGGGATGCCATCCAGAGGGACCGTGACAGGTTTGAGGAGTGGGCCCATGTGAACCTCATGAAGTTCAACAAGGCCAAGTGCAAGGTCCTGCAGCTGAATCAGGTGCACCTGGACAATAACCAGTATCAGTACAGACTAGGGGATGAATGGATTGAGAGCAGCCCTACAGAGAAGGAACTTGGGGATACTAGTGAATGAAAAACTGGGCATGAGCTGGCAATGTGAGCTTGCAGCCCAGAAAGCCAATTGTATCCTGGGCTGCCTAAAAACCGGAGTGGCCAGCAGGACAAAGGAGGTGATTCTCCCCTTCTACTCTGCTCTTGTGAGGCCCCACCTGGAGTTCTGCATCCAGCTCTGGGCCCCCAGCACAAGGAAGACATGGACCTGTTAGAGAGGGTCCAGAGGAGGGCTACAAAAATGATCAGAGGGCTGGAACAGCTCTTCTACAAAGAAAGGCTGAGAGAGTTGTGGTTCTTCAGCCTGGAGAAGGGTCTGGGGAGACCTTATTGTGGCCTTTCAATATTTAAAGGGGGCTCATAGGAAAGATGGAGAGACACTTTTTTTACCAAGGCCTGCAGTGATATGGCAAGGGGTAATGGTTTTCAACTGAAAGAGAGTAGGCTTAGATTAGATTGCCCAGATGTTACCCAGAGAAGCTGAGGATGCCCCAGTCCTGGAAGTGTTCAAGGTGATGTTGGACAGGACTTTGAGCAACCTGATCTGTTGGAAGACCTCCCTGCCCATGGCAGGCAGTGTACACTAGATAATCTTTAAAGGTCCCTTCCAACCCAAACCATTCTTTGGTTCTATATTTATGAAACATAACAAAAACACTATAAAATACCACACATTCAGCATTAGCTCAATAGTTCCATAATTGCCACTCTAAATGCAATGGATTCATGGCATTCATACAGTTACTAACCATAACTCTTTTTTCTGTCATAATAAAGGTTTAATTTTCCCCAGGTGAGCATTACAGAGATTTTTCTCTGAGCCTTTCATCCTTTGATCTTGGCAAAGGTTTCAGAGGAGGCTGCCCTCAGCTTTTCAGTGCTTGGGTTATGAGTAAAATGTGTAAGGAAGCCAATTTTTCATTAAAAGAACATACTGTGATGGCACAATGAAAAAAGTGTTATCTAAGTTAACACACTGTGGAAAATGTGATTTTAAAACACACATCTTCCTGTATTCTTCAGCCACAGAGTAAAATCAGGGAAATCTGATGAGAGTACAGTGGAATAGGGTAGGTAAGCAAAAATTCTGTGAAAAGGTATGGGTATAGCAAAAATACTTGCATACAGCATCCAAAAGAAGCAAAACACATATAATCTAAATTGGGGAAATTTAATTTATTTACCTGAGAGAATACAATTTCTGGAAAATTACTGAAATATTTCACAATATCAGAACATAAACAGACCTGCTTAGAAAGCCTACACAGCTCCTTTTTTTCCAAAATTGTGGAACTCTTGTGTCTGAATGAGAAGTTTTATGACTCAGTCTACTTCTTTCTCTTTCTTCCTTCCATCAAATGGCTTTTTCATTATTAATGTAAAGAAAATGACATGAGGAGTTACTGAAAAATTGGCCACACGATCCTAGGCATAACTATTCACAATGAAGGTCTTTGCTGGATTAGTACTGCCTCTAGCCATCTGTCTACCAGTCAACAGGCTGGTTGCCTATCCTGTGTGAGTATGTAGTACAAATTCCCCACAATTTACATCTGCTGCTTTTGCCAGACTTAGTAAACAACCCATGACAGATGCTGCAAAAATCAACATCTGCTTAGTTTCCCAGATCTCTCTTACTGCTTTTTCTCAGCCAAAACAAGGGGGGAGATAGGAGGAAACTTGATTTTGTATGCCTATTGCATGTGCATGCTTACTAACAGAAAATCCAAAGGAAAATATTGCTGAGCACTTAATCTTTATTGTTTGCTGTTAGTCAATTTCTTTGCCCCTTCTTATTTTTGTGATATACTTTAAATGCTGTTAGTAGTCTCAGTAAGAAAAAGTCAAGATAGTGGACCTGAACAGCATTTCAGGATAGAATTGGGAGTATGTTTAAATTATGCAATGTGCTAACTATTAAAAATGGCTGTTAAACCATCAAATACACAAGTAGAGTTCCACTGTTCTAAGTATTGAAAGAGATCAGTTCAAACTTGAAAATGGAACCAGACCCTGTTAATTTTAACAAATCAATATTTCCACTCATTCAATTGAATGTGCTCTCTATGCCTACTTCTGAGCATGAGCAGTTAGTAAATTGTACACAATTTAATAGAATGCTTAAAAGGTGGATATTTCTACACATTTCTAAGATCAGGCTTTTATCTTTGAGAGGAGCTGGGAAGAGAATATTTCTTATGGTTCCTCTGTTTTGCCATCTACCATCTACTGTTCCAGTGTCGTTAAAAGACAAACAAACAAACAAACAAAACCACACTAAAGCAGAGTAGTAAGAAATAAGGCCTTATTTTGAGGGGATTTTATTAAAGTTTGGTTCCTCTGTTTTGCCATCTACCATCTACTGTTCCAGTGTCGTTAAAAGACAAACAAACAAACAAACAAAACCACACTAAAGCAGAGTAGTAAGAAATAAGGCCTTATTTTGAGGGGATTTTATTAAAGTTTTTCCACCAATGATTTGTTAATGCAGCTGTTCTGATAGAGTGGCAAGAGTGCATACTGGAAATGCATTTTGTCATTATGTCATGTAGTTCTTCTCTGAGTGGGATTATACAGAAGGACAGTAGTAAATTTAAAAAAAAAATAATAATATTTAAGAACCCTCACTGGTAAATTAAAAACAAGCAAACTCACCTGATTAAGTGTTTCCAGATGGACAATGACATATATCTTGGATTACTAAATCAATAAAACAAGCTCCACTTATTCCTATACGATATTCCTCTTGCAGTAGTCCACCAGAGTTTCTATAGTGTTAAAAAGTCACATTTTTTAAAAGAAGTATTTAGAAAACTGGTAAAACACAAAAATTTCAGGTTAAACTATCTCTTTGGATGAATGGAGTCACCAGCAAAGCGTGAGGAACAGGGTGCATTAGCCTGATGATCACTGCCCAGGGAAACCTATGGATGTCTCAGATTAAGTTCCACTAGCAGGTAAAGTGTTATAATTTTAGATGCCCCAGAGTACCCAGCCTGGCCTCTGTCTGCCATTCCAGAAAGTCAGGGGCCTTGCATCA